CCTTCTTTCATTCATGCTCTTTCTTCCCTCCAACTTCCGGCGTCGTGGCGTCACGTGACCACAAAGTACTAGGTGGCAGATGAGTAACCCACCTGAGCCACCGGGGCGTGAAGTGGGCGTGACGCTAGGGTGAGTGTTGGTGTGACAGCTTCCTTTATAAGGGTGAGCGAGTGTGGAGGGACTAAGGGTGTCTTTGGGTGTTGTTTTTTTTGTGATTTTTAAAGGGGTGTATGTGCGTTTATGTGTGTATGTGTGTGTATCTATCTGTCTGTCTATCTGTCTATATATAAATTTCGATTTGTGTTTGTTTTAGTTTTAGATTCTGTGGTGTGTGGGTACGTGTGTGTGTGTGTGTTTGTGTGTGTGTGTGTGTGTGTGTGTGTGTGTGTGTGTGTTAACTCTTGATATGTTAAACGTTTAATGCATTTTTTCTTCAAATTTTAATATTTCATTTATTTCTTTTACTACCCTTTTTATCAAACTATTATTATTATTATTACTGCTATGATTATTACCCTTGCTATTATCATTACTACCATTATTATTGTTGTTGCTGTTTTATCACCATTATCATTATAATTATGATGTTATTATCATTATTATCCTAATAATAATCTCTATCAATTTCTTCTATGCCATTGTAATTATCATCATTACCTAGGTCCATTACCATTAATATCATTGTTTATTTATTGATTGATTCGTTACTAATATTATTCACGGGGTATGACGTCATCAGGTCGGTCGGTTGCGCAACGGATACCTGATACTTTATACAATGGCGTTCGGTAAGGAAGATAGAGACAGAGAATAAATTAGAGTGAAAGTGGATTATGTCCTCAGTACGCCTTGTTTTATGTGTTCGTGGCGAGGTCTCCCTCTTTTTGTTTTTTCTCTCTTCTCTTTCTCTCTCGCTCTCGCTCTCGCATTCTCTCTCGCACTCTCTCTCTCTTTTGTTTACTTTCTCGCTCTCTCTTTTGTTTATTCTCTCTCTCTCTCTCTCTCTCTCTCTCTCTCTCTCTCTCTCTCTCTCTCTCTCTCTCTCTCTCTCTCTCTCTCTCTCTCTCTCTTCTCTCTCTCTCTTTGTTCACTTTCTCCCTGACATTACTTTTTCTGTCTCTCGATCCCTGGACTCTTCTCCTTTCTGTTACTTTCTCTCTGCTCTCTTCTCTTTTTTCCTCTCTTCCTCACTTTCTCTTTCTTTCTTATGATCCTTGTCCTCAGCACTTCTCTCTCTCTCTCCTTCCCCTCTCCTCTCTCACACACCCCTTCCCTCCCCCCTTCTCTCACCACCCTTCCTCCCCCCCTTCCCTCTCTCTCTCTCTCACACCCTCCTCCTCTCCTTCTCTTACTCTCCAAATCCCTCATTAATTCCAAACCACATGTGTCAACTTCATCAACAAATCATCATTGACAGCAGTATCAATCATTGCCATTATTACCTTTATTTTCAATAATTACTTCGTTTCAGTGACGTGTGTGTGTGGAGGAGGAGGAGAAGAAGAGGAGGAGGAGGAGGAGAAGAAGAAGGTGGAGGAAGAGGAGGAAGAGGAAGAGGAGGAGGAGGAGAAGAAGAAGAGGGGGAGTGGGGGAGGAGGAGGAGGAGAAGAAGAAGAAGAAGAAGAAGAAGAAGAAGAAGAAGAAGAGAAGAAGGAAGAAGAAGAAGAAGAAGAAGAGGAAGAGGAGGGAGTGGACGAGGAGGAGGAGGACGAGGGTGGCAAAGATAGTGTCTGAATGTCACGTGTGTTAGTGTGTAATGATCAACGTAATAGTTATCAATGAAAGTAGTGGTTAACCTTTTCCATTCGCTAAAGAGGAGACGCGAATTCATATATCTATTCGTGGGATTTTTTTTTTTCGTCTGTATTTCGATAATTTTTCTTTTCTTTTCTTTTAATTATTGTGATTATGAAGGGTGGAATTCGTGAAATGTAGGATGGAGACTAGTTATTATACATTAAAAACAGAGAAAAAAGATAAAAGCACTTTCTATTGTCTCATACTGTTTTTTTTCTTTATTATTTTTTCTTTGTTCTTTTTCCTTCTCGATATTCAGTTCTTCTTTTGTTATTTTCCTTATCTTACTCCATCTCTTCCACTCCCTCCTCTGTGTAAAAAAAAAAAAAAAAAAAAAAAAAAAACACGCACAACACAACAATAATTCCAAATGAAGAAAAATAAAAACAAACACGAAAAAAAAACACAAAAAAACAAACACCACACACACACGAAAAAACTCAAAAAAAAAACACCAAAAACAAAAACACTACGACAAAAAAACACGACACCGCGACAGTCACAGAACAAGGCAAAAGTACTCGAGAAACGAGAACACGTGTTGTCGCAAGTAAAGCACGCAGCGACACTGAGGACGGGAGGGATGCGTAGCGAGAGGAGGAGGAGGAGGAGGAGGGGGAGGTAGGGAGGGAGGAAAAGGAGGGAGGAGGAGGGGAGGGGAGGAGGGGAAAAAGGGATAGGGAGGGAGGAAAAGGAGGAGGAGGAGGGGAGGGAGAGAGGGAGGAAAAGGAGAAAGGGGAGGAGGAGGAGGAGGGGAGGGTAGGGAGGAGGAAAGGAGGAGGAGAGGGGAGAGGAGGGGAGGGAGGAGAAAAGGAGGAAGTGGAGGGGGAGGAGGAAAAGGAGGAGGGAGTGGGAGGGACAGAGGAGGAAAAGAGAGGAGGAGTGAGGAGGAGGTGGA